ATGACATCCATAGCTCTTCCTGTCTTCACTGATGTAGTCGTTCTATCATAGAAGGCCACTAAGTTGGTCAGTAGGACTTGCCCTTGGTGAAGCCATGCTGGCTATCTTGAATCACCTCCCTGTCCTCCACAGCATAGCTTTTAGGAGGATCTGTTCTATGATCTTCCTAGGCAGAGGTGAGGCTGACAGATCAGTAGTTCCTAGGGTCCTCCTTCTACCCTTTTTAAAAATGAGTGCAATGTTTCCCTTTTTCCAATCACCAGGGACTTTACCTAACTGCCATGACTTTGAAAAGTCATGGCAGTAGAGCTGTTTTGATGCTAATCTTATATACCTTCTTTATTCCAGCGCTGCTGCCCAGAACCTAGTAAGAGGATTCCCTCCTGGAGTGGCCGTCCCATCTGGATGGAAAAGATGGTGCTTTGCAGAGTGAAGGTTCCACACACCTTTGCTGTTCACTCTTACACTCGTCCCACCATATGCCAGTATTGTAAGCGACTGCTTAAGGGCCTTTTTCGCCAAGGAATGCAATGTAAAGGTAAATGTTTAATTTTCTGCTGCAGCGATAAATTTCGGTAAAGATCTTGTATTTAAAACTAATTTCAACTTATGTTTTGATTGCCAGAAGGTTGTGTGCTGTGTAATGGGCAGTATAATTTCTGAAAAATTTTATATTTTTGAGAGAATTACAGCAGCCCTCATTTTCATTTTAGTAGACTGTGCATTGTACGTTTTTCTGAAAAATAAGATTTAATCACATGTAGATTGGGAACAACTTAGTTCTGGAAGGATAATTCTAAATTAATAAAAATGGGAAATGCTTCCCTTTGTTCAATATCTGTCTTCTAGACTCACCACTAAAGAATTTGTAAGTTTTCATTATATTATTCAAGTACAGAATACTGGTTATTATCTTTCAGAAAAAAGTTTGTACAGGTAGTTGCTTTTCCTAAACTAGCTTAGGCTTCATCAATTGCATAGTTTTTATTTAGCATATGTTAAGATGCATGACTTTGGTTCTCAGACTCTTCCGTGCAATTCCCATGGCATAACTATGACACTGTGATCTTCTTCTGGCTCTTTTTTGCTGGGTAGTGCAGATCTGTCAGCTTTGTTGCAGGAAAGAAAACCGTAGTGATGAATCATAAACACTAATATGGAAAGGACTTTCCATTTCTGTCATGTGAATTTGTCAAATGTGAGTACCAAAGGTCAACATTTTGAAAGAGGTCCCTTAATACATTTTCAATTTCCTGTAGTAGGAGAGAGCAAAAATTGTAAGTTTATAACTGTTTTAACTTTCTTTTGACTAAAAATACTGCTGTCTCAAGTAAGGATGTAGTTTTATCTTTCATTTCTGTTTTTATTAATTTGCAGTCTTTGTAGTCTGCATCCTGAACTGTTTGATTTTTTTTTTAGTCAGTGTCTCTTGGATACATGTAATACATAAATAATGAAGCCTAAAAAAGATGCTTTGCAGTTTTAACATATAGAGGCTACTGACAATATACAGTTGTGACTGTATATCCAGCTGAACAAATGGGGTTATCTCATCAGTTTCAGGGAAGTGAATGACACTAGATAAAAATAGCATTTATGTATGGAAAACAAGCCTAGAGAAATGTTAGGCATATGCACAGGACAGAAATAAGTAGATTAATAGGCCTCCATTTATGCAGTATGATCCTATATGTATTTTTAATATATCAGGAATTTACATCAAACAATCAAAATATTTTCATACTGCTTTCTCCTACAGATTCTTAAGGTTTCCCACCAACTTCCTTGTGCACATTCCCAAAGCTTGGGGTCTTTCAGCAGTCCCATGTTCCTGAGTACCTGTAAGAGCCCTGGATTTCTTGAATCCATCCAGGCTTCTACTTGGACTCTGAGGGTGATCTTTGGGATGCTAAGGCTATATTTGTGGTAATAAATTAAATGTGCCCAGGAACTTTCCTGGACACTGAAGTCAACTGGGACAAAACAACCTGTGCTCGTGAACAAGCTTTCTTAGCATCCCAGCCTGCGTGGCTATATGCAGACTGCCTGTTGGGAACAATTTCATGGGATGCTCTGATTTATGAACTAGACCTGGGAACTGTTTGGGATTGCGCTAATGCTGCGGGCCAAAAACATGCTAGGGGATGTTTGGAACTGTTTACTGAACTAGAGAGTTGCACTGCAGTACCCAAGAATGTTTCTGGATGTAGTTTAATTTATTAGGATTGACTGACTCTTAGTCTTTACAGTTCTCTGGTAGGATTTGAAATTGTGTTTCTTCCAGCCCCCTTCATATTCCATAATATGGACTGAAAATGCCACTATAGAAAGGACAGTTCATTGGTCTCCTAGGATACTTCCTTGCAGGCACTCGGAAGCTGAACAGGATTGTATTTTGCTCCAGGGTTTGGCTTCTCTGCTACTGTAATGGGGAGATAATGATTTTTCTCTTGTCTGGGCTTAAAAGGAAAGCACGATGAGCTTTCTTTGGATAGCAGAAAGGGGCTAAATTATTAGCCTGAAAGCAGTTGTGGGAGCAGTAGGGAGTTTTGAAATTCATGATGTTGATACGGAGTTGAAAATTACAGCAATGGTGCTAATAAAGGAAATTTAAATTCCTGTTAATACTACAAATGTTTTATGCTAGACTTTGTTCAGTAGGCTGCATCTGATGCAGAAATGGCACACATCCAGGTTAGACTTCATCTCCACATCAGGCCAGATCTGGACATAACATTATTCTGCCTGTCCTGTGCCAGCAGGCAGAAATGGAGCTTCAGTGTTCACCCAAATCTGTAATCTGAATGATGGGGGAAGTGGACTTTGGGATTTACTGCAGAGCATATTTGCTCCATGATATAGGTGTGTGAGCCTAGGGGCTCTGATGGCTGCAAATCTTAGGCAGCAGGTGGGGAAAAATGATAGAGATGAGACATTTAAATCATATAGCAATGGAAAAAAGGGTGTGGAACAGATGAAGGGATGGGAAAAAATTACATCATAATGGAAAAAATAACTACAGAGAAAGCTAGAGAAGTTAGAAAACTGTTTTGTACTGGAAGAGGAAGTGCTGACATAATAAATGGTGGGGCAAATCAAGATGTGGCATCAGGACAAGATTGTTAATTTCCTTCTGGAGGTGACCTCATTGGTGCTGTCTTCAGTTTCATGAAAATGTATCAATCTGAACTGAAGCTTGTGGTGGAAGTAGTGAATGATAGAATATTGGTGTCTGAGTAGGAATAAAATTCTGGTATCCTGGGCTTATTTATCTTCTGTTTTAGATTGCAGATTCAACTGTCACAAACGCTGTGCATCTAAAGTACCTAGAGACTGTCTTGGAGAGGTGGTTTTCAATGGAGGTAAGATGAGAAACATGCTTTCAAATACTGACAGATATTTGGAGGCTTAAGAAGATGCAATAGCTTTTGGTTCCCTCATCTTTGAATATTTTATGTCTTTTTGTTCTATCTTCCCATTTTTTTCACCTGAGATCATTGACAGTTAAAAAGATTCACTGTAAAACTTATACTCTGGTGGCCCCAATTTTACTTAATCAGTCTTGGCAAGTACAGTATGCTTTGCTTGAGGTTACTCAAGGAAAATAAAAAATCAAGAAGCCTTCTCAATGTATAAAAAATAAACATCTGTTGTGATCAGTCTGGTCATTGTTCACCATGAAATAAATATTTTTAAATGTTAATATCTGAAGACAAGTATCATTTTTTGTGACTTTCTTATATCCATGATTTTTAGTGGCCAGAGCTAGCCCAGCAGTTTGTGAGGTAAAAGAGAAAGGAGAAAAACAAGCTAAATCAAAACAAAAAACCTCACTCTCGTTTTTTGAAACCTCAGTTAAGTAAGACTATTTTCTGAATTGACCTCACAGAGTTGAAAGGGGAATATGAGGAAAGATATGTGGCAGAAAGTTTTCTTAGAAGTTCTAGATGAGTGTGTTAAGCTGATGAAATATGGGATGGATGAGCAGACAGTGAGGTGGATTGAAAGTTGGTTGAATGGGTGGGCCTAGAGTGTGGTGATCAGTGGCATGCAGTCTTGTTGGAGGTTGGTAACTAGTGGTGTGCCCCATGGGCCAATACTGGGTCCAGTCCTATTCAACATCTTCATTAATGATTTGGACGATGGGGCAGAGCGTACCCTCAGCAAGTTTGCTGATGACTGGGAGGACTGGCTGATATGCCAGAAGGTTGTGCTGCCATCCGGAGGGACTTTGACAGGCTGGAGAAATGGTCTTATGAGGGTTGCTGGACCAGGTAACCTCCAGATGTCCCCTCCAACTTCAACCATTCTGTCATTGTGTTGATCCTTAGCATGTATATTTTTGAGGAGAATAAAATTGATGACATGCAGCAGATCGCACCAAACTCTACAAGCTGATTCAGAGGCCTGGGCAGCAGCCCTGTTAGCCAGTGGGTCCGTTGCCGTTGCACAGCATGTCCCATCCATTCATGCCTGCCTTCTACAGCTCCAGGGCTCATGCCCGGGTCTTGAGATTGGTGGCCATGAGCAATAACGTGCAACATGTTGTTGCTGCAGCCTGCTTTCACCAGCCTTGTGATGCTAAGCTGCTAGAGTAATAGTTTGGGAACTACAGTTTCAGACAATTTTTCCGTGGACATAAGGAGTCACTTATTTTTTTTGTTCTTTCTCCCACCCTTAATTTGAGCTCTCCTCAGACAAAACAAAAAAACCCAAACAAACAAAAAGACCAAAAAAACCCCGAAAAGGCTACAGTTGAAGGTATTCGTATGTCTTAATTCTTTGTTTTCCAACAAGCGCAAGTTGTACAGCTTTTGGAAACTTGAAACTTCTGCCAGCAGAGAGTTAGATGCAAATAAGAACTGTTGTGCTTTTCTCTTTTCCTGCAATACCACGACCCACTTTTTCTCTCTTACTTTTGCTGTTATGGACTACAAGGGCAGTGAGAAGAATTGGGTTTCTGTTGTTGGAGAATTTCATTTGCACAGGAATAATTCTCTGGGTCATTTGTAGCCATCGAAAGGTTACTTTGTACTTTTGTGGAATGGTATTACTTAATGATGTTTAGGTTTAGGCCTTAATCTTTTCGCTCCATTTCTTTCAATATGATTCTTGTTTTGGTTGGGTCTCTCTTGCCTTGGCATTTAGCAAAAACGAACTGATAATGTTCATTAGCACACTCTGCATCATTTGGCGAAAAATTGAGGATTTTGTGTATTCTGATTGTACTTTTATGTTTACTTGCATTAATGTGAACTGAAGAAGCAATTTTGTGGAGTTTTTTGGGAGGTTTTTTGATTTTTTTAGTTGTGTATTTGAAGTAATATCTAAATCCTGTGTTATTTCCAGAACCTGCTAGCCCAGGCCAGGACTTGGACATGCCAATGGAAGTTGATAGCAGTGAAATGAACAGTGATGGTAGTCGGGGTCTAGATGATGCTGAAGAGCCCTCTCCTCCAGAGGACAAAATCTTCTTTATGGATCCATCTGACCTTGATGCAGATAAAGATGAGGAAGCTGTCAAAACCATCAGGTAAGTCATAAGGTAGATTTCTTTGTTCTGGATGTACTTTACTCAAAATTTTGAAGTAAAACTTTGAATAAAGCACTTCTGATTAACCCGGTTTTATAGCTTAAAGTTACTTTTTTTTTTTTTTCATTTGTGTTTGGGTTTTTTTAACTTGAAAATGCTTTGTAAAGTTATCCTGTTCCAAGCAAATCTGAAACATAAATAAAATAATATAGTCTCTTCTAATTGGAAAAAGTGCTGTGCTATGACTATTATCAAAGAAATAAAGCCAGATTATCATAACATGGTAAAATTTATGGCTTAACTTAATATGGCTAAGACATGACTAAGATCTTTGACTTTAGCCTGATTTAGTTACTGTTACACATGTGTTGATTTAAAAGGAATTACTTGAGATATTTTAATGTTCACATCACAGTTTATACGTGTTTTAGGCAGAAGTTTGATTTATATAACTTGAATGTGATTTTTCTGAAGTCTTCTATCCGATAACTGTTAGCATAGTTCGTTTAATCAAATTTGATCTTTTTACTTTCTGTATTATGCTGAATAGTGTTACCCTGATTTTCTTAATTCATTCTTAATAATGTAAGAGCAGTTGTATTAGCTCAAACCAAAGGTCATTTTAGCTCAGCGCTTAATAGCAAATATGTGAGGAAGGGCATATAGTGATACCTTCTCAACTTTCAGTGATTTATAGCTCAAGGACTTCCTGAGTTGGAAGTAGCATCTTTTTTGTGTTCCACCTCTAGGTAGGATTTTTCTATTTATTTCTAATTGCATTTGAAGCAATTAAAAGTTGGGGGTTTTTGGCATGCACAGTATCCTGTGGCAGCCAATTCTACAGTGTACACAACTGTGTGCTGTGTTAAAGCATCCTTACGTTTTTGGTTTTGAATCTGCATGTGATTTTGTGCCATGTGTTTACAAACATTTCTGTTAGTGCCACATGTAGGAGCTCTAGTGTTAAGCAGGCAACTTAGTGGTTCACTCCATCTTCAGCGCTATTAAAACCAGTATGTTTAACTAATGACTATGTCAGAATGCTAGAGATTGTCAGATCTTTGACTGCAGGACAGTTAATATCCCTGAGCATTGATAACATTTCCTAGTGCAGCTGTGATTTGAATTAAGATGCCCCTGTTGATATTTTCAAAATTAAAAGTATGCTTAGCTAGAGACCTTTAGTGTAATAACAATATGAAGTAGCAGCATAGTCAGCTGACACAGACAAGAAAAAATAATAGCAATGCTGATGTTGTAATTACATTTTTGTGCTGGATTAAGACCAGCAGTCTCAGCTAAATGTTTTGAGAGAGGGTGATTTCTGTAGGTGTCCTCATTCCAGTGTGTTTCTTCTGTGTTGCATAGAGTAATTTAAGCACTGCAATACATGGACTAGGAGAGGTAGTGGAAGCTCAGATACCTTATCAATTTCATCTTTCATTGAAATAATTTGTATGGGAAGAAAAGGTTCCTGAAAATTATGGGTTAAATGTGTAGTACCAGTATAACTGCAGTACTGTTGTATTTTAACTTGTTAAATATTAACTGTTCTATCTTTAGTCCTTCAACAAGCAATAATATTCCTCTCATGAGAGTTGTACAGTCGATCAAGCACACAAAGAGGAAGAGCAGTACAATGGTTAAGGAAGGATGGATGGTCCACTATACTAGTAGAGACAATCTGGTCAGTGACTTTAGTTTCTTCCTACATTAAGTTAAATTATTTCTCCAACCAAGTGTATTTTATTTCTTTTATTTAGATATTTTGATTTACAGGATCATTTGAAAGAACTTACCTGTTATGTTCATTATAAAGAAATCTGGTGCAAAGGAGAAACTGTAGTTTATTCAAATACTTCATGTAGTGATTCAACAGTACTTTTTCTTCTCCCTTTTAAGAAGGAGAAGCATCTCTAAGTTGTCTCAAATGAATTGCATGTTTAAGATATCAGCTTTCCTGAGATAATACTTTGGAATAATTTGCTTATGTCTTCTTTCTGTTTAGCAATTGAACTAAATATTTGTATTAGAGTTTTGATTCAACTACATGTAAAGGTGGAAATCATTATAAAATGCTGAGTACTGAAATGCTTGACACTATTATTCTAATGATCTAGGAATGGGAATTCCATTTAGTTAAATCCATTCATGTCCTGGCTTTCTGTGTCTAACTCCTACAGGTAGTCTTAGATTCCCCATAATTGAAGTGATCTAAGCTCTGCTGCTTTATGTGTCAAACTAGTGTCATCCCAGGCCAGAGTTAAAAGTCTTGGATTTTTTGTCACAGAAAAATGAAAATTGTTTTCTAACTATAAGTGCATGGTGCAAGCAAAGTAAGTTAGAGTTATACAGCCATATTAGCTTTCTAAAAGCTGCTTTGTTTTGAGGAACGTTCCTCTGCTTAAAATTACAAGAGTTATGTGCAACAGCTTATTCATACTACTTTTAAGTGGAGACAATATTTCTCACTGGTGGAGACTTCCAGAAAATGGCTATTTAGCTTGTCTTGGTTTTTATTTTTCCCCAAGACATGCTGTCCACTTGAATCTCATAATCTGTCTTGTCACTGTGTGCTTTTGACTTTCTAGAACTCTGATGACAAAAGAATTAAGGACTTTTAAGGCTTACTTAGTCCTTGAACTCACGTAATGTTGGTGTGAGGGCACAGAGGGAGAAACCACAACTCCCTCAGTTGTTAATAAATTAAAATAATTCAGGTTTTGTGAGCACATGCACCTGGAGTGAAACTTGTGTGGGTAAGTGTTTTTCTTGTATGCGATAACAGCTGTTGTCACTGCTGTTGCTGTGAAGTGAGTGATATTTTTTTCTGGTTTGTGGAAATAATTTTATGAGCCTCTTCCTGAGTTCAAAAAAATCTTTATTCCCAAAGTGTGTATTTTCATGTGTCTAGTCTAAGATGCAACTGTAGATTAACATGAGTTGATTATTTTAGTAATTTAAAGCATTTCTTATTTAAATAATCAGATAACAAAAGCCATACCAGTGATTTATTCCTTACATTATTATGCTGTGCATGTTGTAGAGAAAAAGACATTATTGGAGACTGGACAGCAAATGCCTCACGCTATTTCAAAATGAATCTGGAACAAAATATTACAAGGTAATGAACGATGAGTAATAATTATGTTGCATTTGATTTACTCGGTACTTTATAGATCTGAAATCTTCTTGTGAGCAGTTTAAGTATTATCTCCATTTCTCCATCTCTTTTTAATCAAAACTGTGACAGGTTTATGATTGGCCAAAGCTTGTAAGTGAGAAGGACTAACTCTGAGAAGTTGCTTGCAGTTCCTGTTCTAATTCTCTTGAGTATGTCTCTCCTTACATTTTATGTGTACTGTACTCTTGAATTGCCTAGCATATTAAGCTTTCTTCACAATTATCAGAGAATTTGTTTGGCTGCCAGTCTAATGAAGGCTAGGATTTTTGCATTCTAAAAATAGTAGCTGAAAGTTTGCATGCTTATGTATTTTATTTCGAGGTTCCCATAATTAAATTATTCCCAACTGTACAAATGAAAATTGCAAGCAAGATTTAGAGGAAAATTTACTGTGCAGCCTGGTGTTATATGAATGGAACTTAGCAATAAGTTTAGTATATTGTTAATACAGTAATGTGTTCAGTGGTGGAATATTCAGAAAATGTGTTCAGATGCATAAACAGGATTTTTCCCTTTCTTGTCTTACACTTTTAGGTGGGGGTCCAAATCTTGCAGCTTCTTCCTTTATAACATCTCTAAGATCAAGCCTTTTCTCTGTACACCCAGCTAAACTTGCCCAGATCCTTTTCATCCCTATCTTGACCAGTGCAGTCTCTTCTTCTCAGACCTCCCTGATATTTGTATTGCCCTGTGCATTCAAAACACAGCTGGTAAAATATGTTCCTTGCTTGTTGCTCCGTTATGTCACTGCTTTTAGTCCTTTGACTTGCCCCTTTGTGCCCCTCTTTAACTGCTTAAATCTCAGGTTATTTGTCTTTGCTGTTAGAATCATTCACGGTTGCTGCCTTTACATTTATTTGCTCTTCATCTTAATCGGCTACTGTCTCTTACCCTCCTAACGCGAGCCTGGTGTTCACCTGCTTGTTCACTACTCTTGCAAGTGATGTGCACCTGTACACCTTCCCATGTGTGTGGAATGTCCTCCTCCAGCTAGCGTGAACTTGCAACCGTTTCTTCCTTCAGATCTGTTCTCTAGTACTGCTTGTACCATGATCTTAAACTGACAAGGTAGAGGAGTCAGTAGAAATTGTTAATATCTGTATGAAAGAGAATCTTTACCCAAAATGATTCAGATGTGTGGAGCAGTGCTTACTGACTAGCTTATAAAACCACATCCTCCTCTTAATGTTGTCTTGTTTCCCCTGTCATGTTCTTCTCTAGCTAAGCTGCATAAACTACAGGGGAAAAATGGTTGTTCTGTAGTTGTGCATCATTTGTATGTGATGGGGGCGTGTCTCATGCTGAATGTAAATGGAGGTTGTCTGAGTAGAGGATAACAGTTGTATAGTGAGAACTGTGCTGGGGCTGAAAGCCTTTCTAGGCTTGTATAGAGAAATTCAGAAAACTATGGGCAGGCAATGGTCATGCACAGTTTGACGTTAGTTATGAAGCTTGGTGTTTTGTTATTTTGATACATTTGATTTCTTTGCATACACATTTAAGTTTTGAATATCAGTATATTAAAATATTGCGTGCATTTTCATTTTTTAATCTTTAATATTTTTCTTCAGGAGATTCCACTTTCAGAAATTCTCCAGGTGACTCAGCCTCGAGATTTTTCAAACGTGGTGCAGGGCAGCAACCCATACTGTTTTGAGATCATCACTGACACGATGGTGTACTTTGTTGGCGAAAACAATGGCAGCAGTCATCACAGTCCTGTTCTTGCTGCCACCGGAGTTGGACTTGACGTAGCTCAGGGCTGGGAGAAAGCCATTCGTCAGGCTTTGATGCCAGTCACTCCTCAAGCTAGCGTTTGCACTGCTGCAGGACAAGGAAAAGATCACAGTAAGCAGGCAGACAAGGCACTATTATTCATATTCTGAAGCTGCTAATGGTAGAGATTCCTTTCAGAAAAGTGCTTATGTAGAGTGAAGTATTGTCTGTCTATTCTCTGCTGAATTGGGTCCATCGTTTTCCACAAGTCTCTAAGAAGTGACATTCAGGTTCGAGGATGGTGGGCAAATCCTTTAATTTGTTCTAGCAGGAAACAGTAGTTAAGAATCAGATTTACAATATGAACGCATATTGCAGAGCTTTATTGTAGGAGCATTAAGAACTTGCACATGGTTGCTGGACATAAGAAAGGACCATAGTTCAGATATTTCTAATATACTTA